CAAGCAGTCTTTGTTTGAACAAGCTTGCGCTGATGAACCGTTGCATGAGGTTGACATTTCAATCTGCACAGGTATGCCAATACACCCAAATCGCGAACTTCCTTAATGAGGGTAAACACTTAATGCGTGCTTGTGCTGACACACCACCGAAACAGCCTGTCCTGTCAGCCCAACGGTGTATTAAAGTATCGGTGTAGCGGCGTGTCGGTGCGTAACTGTTACCTGCCTTCTGCTGTCGTATTGGCGCAGCAGTTTAGCGCGTATCAGTGTGTGCTTGCTTCCCGGTCACGACACCTCCATAGCAGCATATCGACGTATCGCCGGAGAACGATTTGCAGACACCGTTCCATGCACACTGCAACGTGGTGTACTGTAACTCAAGGTGCACACCGCAGCAAATGACTCTGGCGTAACCGAGTACTCTTGGTGGACACTTTGACCCTGCATGCTTTATTGACGTCAAGGACGCTACTAGTAGCTCCTGGCATCGCTACTAGGAACAAAGAGCATCGCTACTAGGAGCAAGGACGCTGTTATTAGGTCCCACAACATCAAAGCATATTTTTCTTTCTTGAACCCAACCTTGAGTTCAGCACACAAATGACAAAACAGCAATCCATTCTTCCGTAGTATATGCCAAAGGAGTGGAGGTGATCCTCAGGTGTTTAAGGAAAGCTATGTATATATTTTGTAGGATTTCCTGTTCCGGAATTGCTTTGAAGCCTGATTACCAACTCAATAATAAGCAAAAACAACAGCCGATTCAGGTACATAAAGCAGGGAAACCTGAGACCCTTCGGTATGGAGCTGGCGCACACTAGGGTTTATGGTTCAGACAATTGGACATCGCCTCCAACCTAAGGTTAAGATTCCCTACTAGATATCTAGGAACCAAATGAATAGCGTAAGCTATCCTGCGTCCTAGGTAGTACGTAGCTACTTAAGCTACTAGCTACCTAGCTTCTACTAGCTACCTAGCTACTACCTCCACGGCCTACCCCCCCTCTGGGCTAAAAGAAACAATTGTTTGCGCCACCAAGTCACGGCGAGCTATTGAGCCCTTTCAAAAACTGAAGAGCAAAGATCGGACCTCCTCCTAGGTCCTAGGTACAGCCAAGTGCTTGCACATGCTAACGGTTCATGTGCTTTCGTGTTATGCAGACGGATGATGTAGAATGCAGTAGGTCATGAGGTTGCAGGGTGACTTACAGTGGTCTCTGCGCATATGATTGTCAGAGATCTGTGGTAACTCTGGTCAAGGCAATTTGGCCCATTTGTGTTTTAGCGTGTGATTATGATTTCTATCCACTAATCTTTATTCCCCAAACAGTTTACTGTTAGGGGTTCTCAATGCTTTAAAGAATGGTCGCCTTGGTGCTGGATGGTCTGGTCGGGTTCCCGGCCGGCTTGTCTCCCACTTCCTTTCATTTGTCTCCCAGTTCTTTTCATTTGTCTCCCAGTTCTTTTCATTTGTCTCCCAGGCTGGGTGCTTGTGGTCGGGTTCCCGGCCGGCTTGTCTCCCACTTCCTCTTATTTGTCTCCCACTTCTTTTCATTTGTCTCCCAGGCTGGGTGCTTGGCTTGTCTCCCACTTCCTTGAATGTGTCTCCCACTTCTTTTCATTGTCTCCCGCTTCTTTTCATTTGTCTCCCAGGCTGGGTGCTTGTAGTCGGGTTTCAGGGCGGCCTGTCTCCCACTTCTTTGCATTTGTCTCCCACTTTTTCCCCAAACAGTTTACTGTTAGGGGTTCTCAATTCTTTCTTAAAACGTGTCCGCCCTTTGTGTCACTGCTGGTGTCCGCCCATTTCCACTGGCCATGTAACATTTCTATTCATCCGTCTCCCAGGTCTGTCACTGCTGGTGTCCGCCCTTTTCCGCTGGCCATGCAGCATTTCTTTTCATTTGTTTCCCAGGTCTGTCACTGCTAATGTCCGCCCTTTTCCGCTGGGCATGCAGCATTTCTGTTATTCGTTTGTCTCCCAGCCTGCACTGCTGGTGTCCGCCCTTTTCCGTTGGCCATGCAGCATTTCTATTCATTTGTCTCCCAGGTCTGTCACTGCTGGTGTCCGCCCTTTGCCGCTGGCGATGCAACATTTCTATTCGTCTCTCCCAGGTCTGTCACTGGTGGTGTCCGCCCTTTTCCGCTGTTTCTATTCATTTGTCTCCCAGGTCTGTCACTGCTGGTGTCCGCCCTTTTCCGTTGGCCATGCAGCATGTCTATTCATTTGTCCCCCAGGTCTGCTGTCACTGCCAGTGTCCGCCCTTTTCCGCTGGCCATGCAGCATTTCTATTCATCTCCCAGGTCTGTCACTGCTGGTGTCCGCCCTTGTCCGTTGGCCATGCAGCATTTCTATTCATGTGTCTCCCAGGCCTGTCACTGGTGGTGTCCGCCCTTTGCCGCTGGCCATGTAGCATTTCTATTCTTTTGTCTCCCAGGTCTGTCATTGGTGTGTCCTTGTCTATTGGCCATGAAGCATTTCTATTCATTTGTCTCCCAGGTCCGTCACTGCTGGTGCCATGTAGCATTTCTATTCATTTGTCTCCCAGGTCTGTCACTGGTGGTGTCCGCCCTTTTCCGCTGGGCATGCAGCATTTCTATTCATTTGTTTCCCGGGTCTGTCACTGGTGCTGCCGCCCTTTTCCGCTGTTTCTATTCATTTGTCTCCCATGTCTGTCACTGCTAATTTCCGCCCTTTTCCGCTGGCCATGCAGCATTTCTATTCATTTGTTGTCACTGGTGGTGTCCGCCCTTTTCCGCTGTATCTATTCATTTGTCTCCCAGGTCTGTCACTGCTGGTGTCCGCCCTTTTCCGTTGGCCATGTAGCATTTCTATTCATTTGTCTCCCAGGTCTGTCGCTGCCAGTGTCCGTCCTTTTCCGCTGGCCATGCAGCATTTCTATTCATCTCCCAGGTCTGTCACTGCTGGTGTCCGCCCTTGTCCGTTGGCCACGCAGCATTTCTATTCATGTGTCTCCCAAGCCTGTCACTGGTGGTGTTCGCATTTCTATTCTTTTGTCTCCCAGGTCTGTCACTTGTCTATTGGCCACGAAGCATTTCTATTCATTTGTCTCCCAGGTCCGTCACTGCTGGTGCCATGTAGCATTTCTATTCATTTGTCTTTCAGGTCTGGCACTGGTGGTGTCAGCTTGTCCGTTGGCCATGAAGCATTTCTATTCATTTGTTTTTCAGGTCCGTTACTGCTGCTGTCCGCCCTTTTCCGTTGGCCATGTAGCATTTTCATTCATTTGTCTCCCAGGTCTGTCACTGCTGGTGTCCGCCCTTTTCGTCGGCCATGCAGCATTTCTATTCATTAGTCTCCCAGGTCTGTCACTGTTGGTGTCCGGCCTTTTCCGCTGGCGATGCAGCATTTCTATTCATTTGTTTTCCAGGTCTGTCACTGCTGGTGTCCGCCCTTTTCCGCTGGGCATGCAGCATTTCTATTCATTTGTTTCCCAGGTCTGTCACTGGTGCTGCTGCCCTTTTCCGCTGGCCATGTAGCATTTCTATTCATTTGTCTCCAATGTGATTTCTTTCTTTTTGTCATTCAGGTTTGGTGCCTGCGCTGCTGTTTTCTGCCGCTGGAACAGGTTCGCCTGTGAAAGGTTCTTGCTCCTTTGCAAGGGGTGCGTGACTGTCTCCGGGATTGCATTCCTGCCACACTGTGTAACTCTCTCAGCTTTGTTTTCCTTTTCGGGCAACCGTTGGATGAATGACTGGATTGGATTTCGGCGGCGTGGCAGTGATCTCTCTGTTCAGTTGGGGCGGAGGGCATACGTCAGGCACCAAAAATCAATTTCATGTCACATCCTTCGCTCCTCATGCTTTTGTTTCTTGTCCTCACGTGGTCAGCTCCCCGCTGACTGAGCAGCATGACCAGCATCATGTGCGCGCTTGAAGAATAATTCCCCAAAAGGTTACTGTTAGGGCTTCTCAATTCTTTCTTAAGATGTGTCCGCCCGCTCTGTACTGCTGAGTCCGTCTCTGCCTTGCAATCCTTTACATTTGTCTCCCAGCTCTGGACGTCGCAAGCTCTAGTTTCGATTTTGAAAAACACAAACTGTTTGGGGTCTACGGTGGTGTAATATGTAATTTCTATCCATTGATCTTTATATGTAAATACTTGTAGTATATATATATATATACTGACAGGCTTCGCCAACCGGCAACGCCCCTGGGGGCACGGCGCGTATCCGCATGCTCTTTGCGCAGCAAAATCCGAGATTAGCGCAACCTCTTACGTCTGCGCATGCAGACTCCCACGCAGTTGTGCACACAAGGGTCTGATGGAAAAAGCCTGGCAACCTCAGCTTCAGACACGTACGCGCATGCACACCCGCACCCGCACGCACACGAACGCACACGCACTCACGCACGCACACACACACACACACACTTATAGAAATCCGTACGGATGTGAATGCGGTGCCACGCGCCGGCCTAAGTGAAAAACCTAAGAAAGCCAGGAGGACAGATAGTAGGTTGGAGGCCATTGCTCTTAGCTAGGAGGCAACGCGACTAGGTCGCAACTAGGTGGAGGCCATCGCAACTAGGTGGGAGGCCATCGCGAGTAGCCAAAATTGCAAAATCGCAAAACAGCTCCCAAGGTTGCAAACATTGCGCGTAGATTGGAGGCCAGCGCAAGCAGGTTGGAGGCCATCAAAAGGTAGGAGGCCATCGCGCAAAGATAAGAGGCGAGGCCGTCGCAACAGATAGGAGGCCGTCGCAAGTAGGTTAGTAAACAAGACAACGCCAAAAGTTGCACACATTCAAGAAAACGCTTGACACAAGTGCAGCTTGCCACACACATGCATGACATTCACATTCAAAACATTCAAAACACAGTCAAAACATTCAAAACAGAGTGTGCTCCTAAGTTAAGCCAAATTAAACAAATTATGGAAGTCTGACATAGGAAGACGTAAGGTTTTTGAGGATGGCTCGCTTCCTCAGACTTTCGGCTCGGAGTGCCATTTGGCCACTCCCAGTGGCCGGTGGCATAGATGTGGGGACGCGTTTTGGCGGGCCTCACCGCATTCGTCGTGGGTTGGCCATGGCGGGGTGAGCTGGAGATGGAGGCGGCAGTAAAAGCTGACTCGGTGAACCTGACCACCGAGGAGACGACTCCGGAGCCCATCGAGACGATCGACCCGGAGGGCATCTTCTGGTGGATCGAGGGCACAGTTTGGGGCTTTTGGAAGCCAGCAGGACTGGCGGGATCAGAAGCACCCTGGTTCGGAACACCGGACCAACCAGGTCGACTTCGTATGGATGGCGGCTGGGCAGGCTACTTCATCGACGGAATTGGAGTACAAGCATTTGGCAGCTGGTGGCCTTGGACGGCTTGCATCATCATGGCGAGCTTCAACATCGGGCTGCTCGGGATCCTGACCTATAGCCTCCATACTTTGACCGGACCATGCCGGGCGATCGGCAGAGGTATACAGGCATTGTGTGGGCTTTGCTGTTGCAAGCGGCGTGACGAGCTGGATGCACATCTTCCTAGTGCTCGCCCTCCGACAGTTGACATCGAGTGGCATGGCCCTAAAACAGGTTGGCCTACTGAGACCCGCTATCTTCAACAACGCCTCAAAGGTCGTGGGAGCAGACGACGGCTGAACGACGTGGTGATCTGACGTGGAGGGCATGTGGCTAGACTACATCAAGAGGAAAGCCTCCTCAAAAGGATCGATAGCGATGGGCTCAGGGTGAAGTTCAGCAGTGTTTCAGGCTGCGCGTCACGGCAATTTCGCAGGGAGCTGGAAGAAGCAGGAGAGATCCATCTTTGCAGGCAGCTCGAATGCAGGGCCGATCACACCCTCCACATCCAAGAGTTCGCAGGTGTTGACCATGAAGCTTTACTGGACCTTCATCGCTATGCACATGGTTCCCCAAGGTGGCTTCGTGGACTTGTTGGACGAGGAGCATGGCGAGGGCCCGGGCTGGTGGTGCGCGCTGGGCGATGCTGCTGCAGAATGTGCTGTGCGAGAAAGGAGAGCAGGGTTATAAGGGACGAAGATGGCCAAGAACGCCTCCTGGACCCTGATTCCGAATCTGAAGCTGAAGGCGATGAGGCATCCTGCCAAGGGGTGCGAATAGGCCTGGTGCTCGATGGAGAGATGCGTCCACTCGCTCCAGATGGCTGCAGCGATCTAGCAACGCAGGAAGAGACGACCTTGTTGGACGAGGACATCGAGGTTTCAGATGTACGACCTCCTGGACCTGGACAGCTGGTTCGAGTTCCTCTTTGTGCACATCATCGTCAAGTTTACCAAAGCGCATCGGCAAAGAGGAAGTGTGGTGTTCTTACTTGCCATAAAGCATCAAAGGGCGCACGACATGGTGTCCCACTTTGCTATGACCATCTCTGTGAGCAGGGGAGTTCAGGGGGCAGGAAAGACAGTCCACATCCCAACGGGATGCTCCAAGGCTTTAGGCGCCGCTTCACCAGGAGACCTTCAAGTCGCAGTCGGAGCCCAGCACCTGATGCGGAGCTTGGAGACAGCAAACCCACTATAAAGGAGGGAGAACCTCAAGCCCAGGTCAAGAAGGAAAGTGGCATGGCCCCCAAGAGGTCAAGCTCAGTGGACTTGGGAAAGGTGATGATTCCGTCTCCACCTCGTGGGGCACTGGATTAGGAGGAGGTGCTGGGAAAGCCAGTTTGGCTGAAGATCAAGCTGAACCATGAGGACGGACGGTTCGATTGGATCATGTGCGTGGGCGAGCTGACTGGCTACACACCCGGAGGAGTACGAGGCGACCAGAGGTTGGAGATCTATGTCAAGTATACCTGGAGAACACCCTGGTCATCGACCCCAAGTACCTGGACGACATGGTGGTGGTGACGCATTGGGCTGACATCAAAGGCTACTTGGTGCCGGAGCTCATCTTACAGCGCCTCATGGCATGGGAAGGCAGAACAATCGTGAGCGGACGTCGCCTGAATGACATCCAGCTGCAAGAAGTGAGGAAGAAGCTGAGAACCCTGGTTCGCAAACACAGTGCTGGCTTCGTCAAAGGGGAACTATGGCCGAGTTGGCCTGCCGAGGCTGAACTGGGGATTGACAAACAGGTGCGTGGACGAGATGATGGAGCACTTCAAGAACAAGGAGCACCACGGAGAAGATCGCGTAGCAGGAGCCAAAGTCTTGCCCGAGCAATGAAGGAAGAGGATGAGGTGAAGAAGGCGGCTGACCGTGAGGCCGTGGTTGATTGCGACCCTGATGAAGTGACTGGGGACAACATCATCGAGGCCTATGCAACAGCAACAGGGTCTGGACAAACGCACCAGGAAGCCATCGACACGGTTCAGATGATCTACGAGGTGGACGTTTCGGCCATCAAGAACGTTCTGAAGTCCTACATCAAGAAGAATTGTGGGAAGCAGAACGAACAGGTAGAGATCGCCATCAAGATCCTCAAAGGGCTCAATGGGCAGGACGGCAAGAGCTCCAGAGACGACGGTGGACGACCCGAAGTTCAACCTGCTCATGCAAAACCTATGGAGAGGCCAAGTACAGGCACACCGGAAAAACTGTTCCCGGTCCACTATGGGGAGAGGCGTGAAGAAGGCAGCTTGATTCGGCCGGCTGGGGACGCCAACAAGACCAACCCGCTGACAGCGAACGACGGCATCGTGGGTCAGCTCTTATATGGGCAACAAGATGATGTGTCCAACTCGCGCTGGGGCCGGAGGAGATGAAGAAGACAACTTCATGAGCGCCAGGGTGGTCCACGCCCTAGAGGGAATTAGAAAAGCAACCGAAGGTGACAAGAAAGGAAACCCAGGGACCAGAAGTGCAATTGGGTCCGAGGAGAGCCTTGACGTCTACCTTGCTAGAGGTTGCAACACATTGACGGTGGAGGTCTGCCCCGACGTGACAGGAAAGGAGTTGTTCGACGCCCTGAAGAGAGCATGCTCACATGCAAAGGCCAAGCTACAGCAGATAGAGTGGCCATGCCTAGTCACGAATGGAATAGCCTGCCCTACAACATGGAGGTAAAGACCATGCAACATTGGCGCCCTGGCAGTTGAGTGTGGCACATGCGGTGACCGCGAAGCCCAAGGACTTTGACCAGTATGAGGCGCCGAAGGACGATAAGATTGAGCCCAAGCCTAGGTACCCCACTCACTTTGCAACTTGGCTGAAACAGGCAAGGAACGAGATCAAGAATGATCGGATCAGTTTTGGGCTTGGAGCACAAGAAAGAGAGGCTGAAAGCACTGGACCAGATCGAGCAGGCCCACGAGCAGGACTCAGATGTCTGGCCTGAGAGCTATTGCTACAGCTTGTGGGAGTTACTCGCCCCTCGCAAGAGCAAAGGGCTTGAAGGATCAAAAGATCTCAAAGGAAAGACACTCTTTGACAAGGGTGTGATGATGGAGGCGCCGCAGAAGCAGGTGGAGAAGGTCGGCTACAATGAGGTGAAGTATGCCTTAGGCATCTTTGGCGACGAAGGGCGCAAGGAGCATGGCTACGACACCAAGTACACCCTCACCGAGGACGTCGAGGTGCGCGAGGGCAAGAATGCCACGAATGATGGCGATGGCCAAGATGGCTGCGGAGCGAGCACAGACTTCAGCTTTGCAGCAGAAAAGGAAGGCCTCGCCTGAGTGTTTGCGA